AACCTTATTTCAAGTAGCAAGTACAACACAAATCTTGAGTTCGTTGTTCTTGTCGTTTGAAGTGCTTCTATGGCAAGAAAAAGATCGTTGTATCTTGAAAACCGATTGTCAATACACCATGAGCATATGAACGGGGCAAATTCGTCTTAAAGAGATAGATATAGTCCAACTCTAACCTCGATCTACCATTTTCATTTTGTGCTCTTCAGTTTCTACAATTTGCTCTATATTTCAAGTTTTCTTACAAAATATGCATCTTCAATATATACCACCAACAATTTTAAGAGGAACTTATTGTCATATAATCTATATTCTGTAATTTATAATCTAAATCATGTGCCCTCTTAAATTCTGATTTGCATGCTTTGTTCATCTGTTCAAAGTGTTTTTCGATTGCATCTAAATTAATAGGAGATTTTGACCGTCCAACCTGTAAATTACCGAATAACCTCTTCGATTGTACCTTACTTTTAGAACATGTGCACTTCTTTCCCTACTACATGGATCACCAAGAACGAACCTCGTTCTTCTTCAACTGGAACTCCAACCGCGTCTTTCGAACTTTTCAGAAATGTGAAGGATTATTGGTAAACGATTTGGTTTTTGGTGTTTGATCTTTGGATTTTTTGTGTTTTGATCTTGTAATTGAGTCAAAAGAATTATAGAATTGATATTTGATGTCTATATGATGTCATCTTGAATGAATAAAGGCTCAACTAACTACGAGATATGTTTGGGACAGACTATTGCTTGGGTATATATAACATGTAGTGTTTGATGTTGTATGGGATTGTGAAATCTACAGAAATTGCAACTTACGGTTTGGTCGAATAACACCGTCGCTCGAGCGGATGGCTCTCAGATAACGAATAGTTGGTTGACCGCTTGAGCTCTCCTTGCAAGGACAGCGAGCTATCGCTTTACTGGAAAAACCGCTTGAGTGCTCTTCTGACGGTCGGCGAGCATTTTTACGCCGACTTTTTCTCCTTGTTCTGTCTATAGCTCCCTCAACACATATTACCAATTCCCAACTCTTTGACCATAATTACAACTCAATAAACTATGATTTTGGATACGGAACTCGCCAATACAATTTGGACCTAACAAACTTCCCCTTAACATTCCGTTACAAAATCATTTATTTTAATATTACATAATAAACACAACCTAACAATACCAACCCAAAGACTCAATACCCAAAATTTATCTCAACAACTCGTCATACATATTTCCTGAAAAAAATGAAATCAACAATACCACGTGTAAAATCTTTTTAGAGAAAGATGTCATCTTAGTCAAATAACTCATCATATCAATCAAGTGATTCACTTGACTAGTCAAGAATCTAGCACGAGTCGTGAGATCTTGTTTGTTGTTCCTAACCAATGGCTTATGGTACTTAGGCATTATGTGACCTAACTCACCATAATTGTTACAAGTGAGAATGGACCTAGGAGTAATTCTAGGTCTCAAGTTTTGAACCTTATGTTGAGGACCTATGTTACACAATGATTTCCGTCCTAAGGCTCCTATATTCTTAGACTTGACAGCGGAAGGTACAAACTTGCTTTTAGAAAAGGAAACCGTATGAGAACTAGAAAAAGATTGAATCTAGGTATTAGATTTCTCAAGATCACTCGTAAAAGTTTTAACCTTACTTTCTAATGACTCTTTCTGAATCCCCAAGTCATTCAATGTTCTAGTTGACTCCTCAAGTTTGACTTCTAAGCTTTTCCTTTCTAACTCCAGTTCAAGTAATTTTTTAAAGGCAGAGCTATTAACCCTTTTCAACTTAACGCTTTTCTCAAACAGCTGGTCAAACGCCTCATAAATATCTTGTCCATGTTCTGGTTCTTCCTGTGAAAAATCAATTTTTTTCTGTCTCCTCAAGTATATCATTCTCCTTTATAGTTTCACGCTTAACCACTGAGGCAAACACCATATTATTCACACCCACATCCGATTGGAGTTCTCACTATCATCATCTGGGCTAGATTCATTATCAGTAAGAGTAGCATTTATAGCGTTACCTATAATTTTCTTATAACTTAAGCACTCGGCTCTAACATGTCCAAAACCCTGACACTCATAGCACCTCATAGGTTGAAACATCTTTCTGGCATATGTAGTATCACTCTTACCTCTCTTTTCTTACCTATTTTACTAGAGTCACCTTTATATTTCTCAGAAGGTCTCTTATTATTCCTAAAGAGTTTCTTGAATTTCTTAATAAAGTAAGAAAAATCATCATCCTTTACGATAAAATCATCAGTAGTGTCACATCTTTTTCGTTAGCAGTGTCGAGGGCTAAAGACTTGTTCTTTTTAGACTGAAGTAGACTAAGTTCGTATATTTGGAGGGATCCTGCAAGTTCTTCTATCTTAATCGCTTCCTGCGTGTCTTTTCTTTCTTTATTAGAAGTAACTTTAGATCTAAATCTTTCATGTAGGGATCTCATAACTTTTCTCACAATCTTAGCCTTGAGGATTCATTAACCTAGGTTGAAACAAGAGTTCATTACATCTTTCAGTTTTGCATAGAACTCATCGAAAGACTCATCATCTTTCATCATAATTTCTTCAAACCTCGTGGTCAAACATTTGAAGTTCAGAGTTTTTCACGTCTTAATTCCCTCATGTGTGGTTTCTAATACATCATAAGCTTTCTTAGTAGTCTCACATGGATACCCGTCTAAACTCTTCTAGAAAAATAGCTATAAAGATGACATGGACACCTCTACTATTCCAATTACCCTGAGCTAAATTATCTTTAAGCCAGTAGAGATATCTATAGGTGTAACAACACCAGCAACAGATGTAGATGAGGCTTTCCAACTCTTTTCTACACTAACCAAGATTTAGATAAAATTGGATTAAAAATCGAATTATGCCATGATGCCAATTGAAAAAATGACCAATGTTTAAACCCGACAACACCTAGAGAGGGTGAATATGTATATAATGTAAAATTAAAAATAACAAACAATAATAAGCGACAATTCATAGATTATTGCCTCTAGATAATTAAGTTTAATCCCATTAAATCCTAATTGTCAATCAAACATATAGTTATCAAAACATAAAAGTAAATCAACACCAAATATGGTAACGAAGGAAAATCATCTAAAGAACTCTTCACAGGATAAAAAGCCTCAAAGTAAACCTTGTTAAAACATCCACTAGAAAAGATAACTTACAATTGGTCCAAACACAACTAAACCTTAGTAGACTCTAACCACTCAATCTATAAATCATTGAAGAACCTCTTCGATTTTGACTAGTGCACTTTTCGAAAATCGAGACTTTTTTTCCCTCTGCGTGGATCACCAAGAACGAACCTCGTTCTTCTCGAACTAGAACTCAAGCCCCCTCTCCTGAACTTCTCAGAACTCTAAATGATTATTAGTAAATGATTTGATTTTTGGTATTTGATCTTTGAATATTTTGTGTTTTGATATTGTGGTTAAGTTAAGAGAATTATAGAATCGATATTTGATCTTTTTAGGATGTTTTCTTGAATGAATAAAGCTTAACCGACTACAAGATACGTTTAGGACAGACTATGGCTTGGGTATATATTATATGTAGCATTTGAGGTTGTATGAGATTGTAAAATCTATAGAAATTGTGACCTAGGGTTTGGCTAAATAATACCCCCGCTCGAGTGGACGGCTCGCGGACAACAAGTGGTGCTCGAGCGCTTATTGTGTGGACGCAAGTGATCGCCTTATTGAAAAAACCGCTTGAGCGTTCCTCGGCGATCAGCGAGCTTTTTTGTAGCGACTTTTTCTCTTTGTTCCGTCTTTGGCTTCTTCAACACATATTACCAACTCTCGACTCTTTGACCTTAATTACAACTCAATAAACTATGATTTAGGACGTGGAACTTGCAATACAATTTGGAGAATCAAACCTATTCTTTATTTTAAGAAGTTAAAATAGAGAGTTTAATGAAGCTTAGTTTTAAGAATTAACTCTCTAAAATAGAGAGCATCCTATATTTAGAGTGTTTTGGAGACGTTCTTAGACCTTATGGACACCAAGTCAAGATTTTAAACTTTTGTTTTTTAATGCCGTCGAGTGCGCCTGTAAGGCTTATTGGTCGATGCAATAGAATTAAACTGATATTAGGTTAATTTTGGGCTTAAATATACTCTAGAAAATTGACGTGGATAACATGTAGAATGCAATGTAACTTTGCAATATAACTCAATGGACAAGGTTTTCTTCTTTCCAAATGATGTTTGTCACCTGGTTGTGATACATAAAATTACTCAATGGCAATGTAATTTTATACAGAGATGTTAGAAACACGTGTCAAATGTTATTTACGACGCGTTACTAACATGGCCCATTATTGAAAACTTATTAGTATCACTAAGTGTCATTAAAGTTCAGTTCCTTATTCAAGATATTTTGGCACATGGCGGCAGGAGATAACCCATCAAAATCCTATTTATACAAATACAAACTGAGAAACGAAGGTTTCTTATCTCCAATGTAGCCTGTGATTTTCCATGATAAACTTTGCCAAGTCATTTCATATTTCAAGTTTCCATCATGTAGAAAGACTTTCATATCTGATTGCGCTGCTGGAAGTACGACCAATAGTTTCCCCTTTGTTGTTCACAATTATGAAAATCGATAATAGATGCTACAATCTATTAGGATCTGGTGCTGCTGTTTACAGTAGTTAAGGTGAAATATTATAGAAATTTGCATAGTCCTTCTACGTATCTTTTTCTCATTGCAGGTTTAAATAGGCCATTCTAAAAAGGCATAGTTGATAATAATCAAGGCTAAAAGTTTATTTATTTCTGCTGATGTTTCATTTTTTTTTTAAGTACAAGCACAACGATATGACAGAAACTAAAGAAGGAAATACAATATTTAAATCTTTACAGCTGGGGATTTGAGGCAATAACTAATAAGATGACAGGGAGGTTGAACATACAAAACTTCAATTTTAGCAAAAAAGAAGCATTTACTTCGATACTTCAATCACACGTATGTACTTGGAGTCCCATCAGTTGGTGAGGGTGCAGATCCTACCCGTTTGCCTCTTTCACTTCTGCTGTTTTCGGAGAACTTCATGCTTGCCATGTGAATGCCTCTCTCTTTCTCTGCCGAATTCCATTCAGACATGTAGTAGTCTTCTTCAGTAGTGCCTTCAGAAGATGGACCGAAAAACATTCCTCCCCATTGTGGGAAGTATATCAGCATAATTACGAGGGTGCAGCATATAATCATAACCCCCATAAGCGTTATACCGGTTTCTGTTGAGTATCTTGATCCTCTAAAGAAAATTACTTGAGTTAGAACTGCACCTACATTTCCACCTCCACCCGTCATCCCAGATATAATGCCCAAAGACCTGATGAGTCATTATTAAGTCAATCAGCAATCAATGAAATAAGTATATTAGGCTCCGCACAAACAAAATAGTAATAGAATGTGAATGACTTGTAGAGAAAATACCTTCTTGAAACAAAAGGAACAATTCCAAAAGTAAGGCCGCACGCAGCTTGCACGAAGATGGAAAATATAATCATTACAGCAACAGAAACACCCAAAGATCCTACTTTACCTAAAAGAATGCAGAAAATGCCACCCAATGTCTGCACTATCCACAGCGCCCATAGTCTGCCTCTCATTCCAAACCTCTTTGCCATAATATCTGATAGAATCCCCCCTCCGGGACGTGAGAATAAATTTGCCAATCCAAAACTAGCCGCAATAATTCCAGCAGTATGAAGGTTCACATTGAACCTATCATAAAAATACTGTGCAATTATGTTGTCTATTGTAAGTTCAACCCCGAAACAATAACCATAAGTTAAAGCAAGGATCCACCCTCTGTAATTTGTAATTGCATGATAGAAAATCTGTGAGAAACTATCTTTGTGTTTATCTCCAGATTTATGCAGTTGTGAGTAGTTTCCATCAGGTAAATCTTGGCCGAGGAAGAAAATAGCATATGCTGATAAAGTTTGAAACAGGGCAGGGATGAAAAATGCTATTCTCCAAGCTGTGAACTTAGTTGCACCAATATTATGGATAAGCCCAAAGACAAGAGGCATGATAAGCTGTGTTGCGCCACCTCCAAGATTGCCCCACCCGCCTGCAATGCCGTTTGCTGTGCCAACGACCTTAGAAGAGAACAAAGAGCTCATCCAGAACTGAGTTGAGACAAAAGTTGCAAGGGAGAAGCCTGTGAAAAAACGGACTAAAAGAAACGAGGCAGCAGAATTGGCAATGGCAGTGCAGTAAACAGCTGGTGCGGTTATAAGGGTGAGTGCAGCAGAGGCTAATCGAGGACCGAATAAGTCACAAGCTGTTCCCATGGCAACTCGAGCAAAAACTGCGCCTGAAACTGCTGCAATTCCTGCATTTCCAATGTCTGTAGCCGTTAAATCAAGATCATCACGAATGATGGGAAGGAGGGGCGGGGCAGCAAAAGTGGAGACGAAACAGGCAAAGAAAGAAACCCACGAAAGATGAAATGCCCGCATATGAGGAGCTGCCACTGAAAGTAATCTGAATTCAGTGGCTTTATGTTCAGAATCTACAGGCAGAACAAATTTCTTTTGAACAGATTCAGGTGCACCATTAGAGTCTTCCATATTGGATTTCGCTGCACAAAAGTTGCTCAAAAGAAAATTTGAGTTAGTAAACTTTAATTTACTGCCTCCCTACCTTTCTGTTGCAGCACAAGATGGGATGGAAACTACAATTGGCTTATAAAGTGCTCGAGTCTTGAACTTGACGTGAGTTGCTCTCTATTCTTTATGGGCTTTTCTATTCGTCCAGGGCCCACGTGGGCCTTGAACGAATCAATAATGCCGAACAAATAGGGGAAAAAAACAGACTGATGTGGCAGCACATGATTGAGTGTTTTTATGATTTTTTCTTTCCATTCTCTAATGAAAAACTGCCAAGTGTAGTCTGGAAATGCTTTATTGTCATTGAATCTAACCATGTAGCATGTTGCCGGACGAATGGGGGCGCATGTGGCACCCCCTATTGGCAGCCAATAAAGGTGTGCCATGTGCGCCCCTGGAGAGAGAGGCCATACTCTCTAGCAAAACCCATTCTCTATTGACTTTATGAACAGTGAAGGAGGTTGTTTTCACAACGGAGTTGCTGTAAAATACTATTTAGCGTGGAATCGCAGATAAAATATTACAATATTAAGAAATTTGAATGGATGTCATTATTGCAAATATGAACTAAATATAGTCTGAAATAGAAATCCTATTACGAAAATGACTAGTATTATCTTGGATAATCGAGACATGAAGATGATTGGAAGTACAAAATATTTGGAAGAGATAAGTGTACTAATTAAATAATCAAAATATTATCTCGGATAATCGAGACATGGACATGTTTGGAAGTACAAAGTTACTTAAAAGTAACTTTTACTTTTTTTCTAATGTTAGTCACACATGCTGTCTATATTGAAAAATACCCACCTCTCTTTTTGGAAAATTAGCAAATTTCAAACTTTTCCAGATTCATACAGCCGATTCTGCTCACCAGAAGCTTAAAATGTCGGGCAAGTGACCTTTCGTATTTCAGAAAGGGAGTCCCAAAGGTCCAAAACTCTTCCATGTTGCCGAGTCTCATTATTCTTTTGCTGTTTGGGCTGTGGGATTGGAATTTGCAATGTGAATACGTTTTCATTGGGATTTTCATTGTTTATTAAGTCCGACAATCAATGGCTAGTGGTCCAAATTCAATGGTTTCTGAACAAGGACAGTGATATTCAAGAAAACAAGCTGTTCCATCCATTGACTTTGGAGCTTAGGAATCCAAGAGAATGTGCAATATTTGACTTGGTAAGAGATACTTTTAGAATATCCATGAATAATGTAACGATAATTGCATCATCCGTTCATCTTGACAATAATAATGTTATTAATATCAGTGAAGTGGTATTAAAATATCGATTTAGGTGATACTCCGTGTTTGGTATCGATTAAAAGGTGATACTCCGTGTTTGGTATCGATTAAAATCTAGATTTTAATCAAAATCAAAGTCAACAATTAATTTTGACCATATATTTTATGGATCCCACAACTTTACAACCACATATTTCATCAACTTCAATCAAAATTTACTAAAAAATTGATCACTACCAAACATAGGCTAAGTAATAAGTTTGATTAATTGAGATTATATTACTACATTTAGTCTCCATTAAAATTTTAATTAATTTTTTATTTTCTTATCAACCACACATTTTTCAATAAAATAATATTACACGTAAACTCAAAAATTTTCTTCATTTTTAACCACACATTCTCTAAAAATTTACTATTTCAAAGTACTTTTTTTTTTTTTCCCAAAATCTCATTAAAAATTTCAAACAAGGGCTTATTTGGATCTGTATGGTATTATAACATCATTAGTGTTACATATCATTATTTTTATTTTTTTATTTTTTATCGGTTGTTACATATCATTATTCATTTAAGGAGGATGATGTTGTGTAGGCATATTCGGACAAACGTGACCCTGAGTTAGGATGAAAGAAGAAACAATGGAGCAAGACCGTGTTAATAGACTTTTCACGTTTTTATATGCAATGTTGGAAAAATTGACTAAAAGAAGTACCAAGTAAATATTAATTTTCAAAAGAGAGTAAATAATCCTCGTGCAACCCTTGCGCAATCCTCGTGCAATCTGATCATTTCTTTCAAATGAAGCAAAAAGATGCAATAATTGGTTGGGAGAGCAAAGTTCCCAAAGTCCATGTTATACCAGATGAAATAGGTATATGCAAATATCACCTTGGGCAACATATATGTGACATCAAAGTAATTGTCAGATTTTCCCATATATTTGAGATAGCCAACGCTTAGATCCAACTATGCCCAAACTTTTGTGGTTTGCCTCAACAAGAGAGATCCATCAATGAAGATCCTTCTCCTTCCTTTCTTTCAGAAGAAAAGGAGGTTCCGAACAATACATTTTAATTCATTAAAAAAAATAGCACTGACTCAATGTCACATGAACTGATCATGAGTAAGCACTATTTATAAAATACAGTTTTCATATATAAATGTGCTTTTCTTCTTAGAGATGTGCTTTTTCTCTCAACAAAAATCCTGAAGCAAATTGTCTTAAAAAGATGCAACACATTTGCAAATCCATGATACCATTTTTTTTTTGGGTCTGAGCGAGATGATAAAATAATACTAGACAATAATGAGCAAATTAGTTGCGGACATACAATTGATTACCCACCAGTAAGGATGATTAAGGAATGGCTGAGAGTTGCCCTCGGGGCATAGCTCGGTGATGCAAATGACATGAGTGAGGTAGTCTCAGTTAAATTGATAGCCGCAGTGTAAGGATTCAATTCCTACCTCTTACAAAGTATGGAATTTGACCTTTGTCGGCATCAATATGGCAGCTCTTGTACCCTGACCTATTGAGGCACATCCCGCAATTTACCTCCTCCACGATGATCTAGCGGCGGGCCGCGACGGGACGGGGCGGGGCGGGGCATTCTTAAATGGCTTTTACTGTTTTTAACTTTTTTTTTCTTAATTAAAGTTACCAAAATTTACCATGATTCGACATCACTTGCAATTTCAACGCCGTAAAGATGACAAAATTGGGAATTCAGTGGCAATTTTACATTTATTTAAAAGATACTTATTTTCTACTATTTGAACTAATTAATTATTGTATATATAAGCTAAGTTCAACCTTAGCAATCTCGAATATCATCATGCAACTTGTCATAATATTTTGAATCTAAATATGGTTGCAAAAGATTTAAGGAAAATTAAATAGGTTTTCTTGCTGAAATGCTGTACGAACTTTTAAGAAATTCAATATGTTTACAACTAAAGGGTGATTTGGTCTTTTTAATTAAGTATTTTTTTTTTTTAATTCCTGGTATTATTTTTTTGTGTGATTTGTTGGATGGGATATTAATCATCGTGAATATGGAATCTTGCAAGTATCTAATAAACAATTATTGTGGCCGTTATCTCCGTGCATGCTTCTATTGTGATTTGATTCGTTCAATGTTGGAAATGATTTTAATCTCGATTTGCATAAAAATAAGGGAGTCTTTGTTAAAAGACCTAGTCAAACAATGATTTTGGTTAAAAAATCTTATCTCAATTTTTTTTGGCCAAATGGCCTTCAATNATCAAAATCAAAGTCAACAATTAATTTTGACCACATATTTTATGGATCCCACAACTTTACAACCACATATTTCATCAACTTCAATCAAAATTTACTAAAAAATTGATCACTACCAAACATGGGCTAAGTAATAAGTTTGATTAATTGAGATTATATTACTACATTTAGCCCCCGTTTGTCTACCATTTTTTAAAAAATTGTTTTCTACAGTAATCAATATCTACCACATATTCAAATAATAAAATATTCTACACATAAATCGATAAAGTTTCTTTCAATTTCAACCACACATTTTCAAAAAAAAAAACTATCCATTACACCATTTTCTTCTCAATAATGGTTGACAAACAGGCACTTAGTCTCCATTAAAATTTTAATTAATTTTTTATTTTCTTATCAACCACACATTTTTCAATAAAATAATATTACACGTATACTCAAAAATTTTCTTCCTTTTTAATCACACATTCTCTAAAAATTTACTATTTCAAAGTACTTTTTTTTTTTTCCCCCAAAATCTCATTAAAAATTTCAAACAAGGGCTTATTTGGATCTATATGGTGTTATAACATCATTAGTGTTACATATCATTATTTTTATTTTTTAATTTTTTATCGGTTGTTACATATCATTATTCATTTAAGGAGGATGATGTTGTGTAGGCATATTCGGACAAACGTGACCCTGATTTAGGATGAAAGAAGAAACAATGGAGCAAGACCGTGTTAATAGACTTTTCACGTTTTTATATGCAATGTTGGAAAAATTGACTAAAAGAAGTACCAAGTAAATATTAATTTTCAAAAGAGAGTAAATAATCCTCGTGCAACCCTTGCGCAATCCTCGTGCAATCTGATCATTTCTTTCAAATGAAGCAAAAAGATGCAATAATTGGTTGGGAGAGCAAAGTTCCCAAGTCTATGTTATACCAGATGAAATACGTATATGCAAATATCACCTTGGGCAACATATATGTGACATCAAAGTAATTGTCAGATTTTCCCATATATTTGAGATAGCCAACGCTTAGATCCCACTCTGCCCAAACTTTTGTGGTTTGCCTCAACAAGAGAGATCCATCAATGAAGATCCTTCTCCTTCCTTTTTTTCAGAAGAAAAGGAGGTTCCGAACAATACATTTTAATTCATTAAAAAAAATAGCACCGACTCAATGTCACATGAACTGATCATGAGTAAGCACTATTTATAAAATACAGTTTTCATATATAAATGTGCTTTTTCTCTCAACAAAAATCCTGAAGCAAATTGTCTTAAAAAGATGCAACACATTTGCAAATCCATGATACCATTTTTTTTTTTTTTTGGGTCTGAGCGAGATGATAAAATAATACTAGACAATAATGAGCAAATTAGTTGCGGACATACAATTGATTACCCACCAGTAAGGATGATTAAGGAATCGCTGAGAGTTGCCCCCGGGGCATAACTTGGTGATACAAATGACATGAGTGAGGTAGTCTCAGTTAAATTGGCAGCCGCAGTGTAAGGATTCGATTCCCACCTCTTACAAAGTATGAAATTTGACCTTTGTGGGCATCAATATGGCAGCTCTTGTACCCTGGCCTATTGAGGCACATCCCGCGATTTACCTCCTCCACGAAGATCTAGCGGCAGGGCGCGACGAGGCGGGGCGGGGCATTCTTAAATGG